GCTGGCCCGCCCTCTGTGGAGAAGACGGGTGCTGAGCCAGCGCTCAGGGCTGCACAGGTGAACCTGGGTGCGCAGGGAAGTGGAAAGACAGCTTAATGAGCTTCCTCGGAGCTGGAACAGCCGCGGGGCTCCAGCGCGTGTCCCGCTGACGTGGTGCAAGTGGTGGCATGCCTGGGAAAAGCCACCACAGGATGCCACAGGTTCCTGCCAACGCCTGTCACCTCCTGGGCGTCTGGCACGGCTTTTATCTACAGCACAGCTTGAAACTTTAATAAAGAGTTTATAAGGTATTTTAGTTGCTTCTGAGGCTGCTTCGTTGAGGCCTCCTAATGCAAATGCACTATTTTTAAATATTTGCAAATAAACAACAAGAGGGGGAGCCTTGCAATGAATGAGGAAGCGCTCCTAGAAGTATTCCTTTTCTGGGCTGGCCATGGCACCATCCCTCACTCATTGGTTTCCTGTGGCCGCCGCAGCAACTTGCCACAAACTCAGGGTCTCCGAGGAGCTGCGCCTTCGCCTCGGGCTTGCGTCACGGCGAGCACACACCTGGCCCTCCTGAGCACCTGGGAGGCTGGGCAGGGACCGGTATTCCGCTTCCCAGAAGAAGCTGGAGTCCAGGCGGACACACAGGGTTCAGCTGAGCGTTGAGTCCCAGGTTCTTGACTCAGGCCCTCTCTTTGCCATTATGGCCGAGGGGTTCAGCTTGACCCCGAGACCTCTGTGGAAATGTCTGTGACTGTTTCTGGATGTTGTAGGAACACAGGCTGTCATGAGGAGCAGGTAACCCAGCGGGATGAGTTCACGGGATCATGTTGAGGAAGAAAATCGGGCCTAGAAACCGTTCCCCAGGTCTCGGGGAAACCTGCACGCTTGCCCAGCCCCTCCAGAGGGGCCTCCACCGGCCTGCCCAGCCCTGTTGGCAACAAGAAGGACTCGGCGTTGGCCGGGATGCAGTGCTGGTGTGGGGTGAGGTGGGGATGCTTTACTGCACATTGAAATGGCTTTAATGAGGAAACACCCAGAAATACATCGTGTTTACTCTTTAAGTTACCCACAGGAGTCTTGTATCCATTCTGCTTAGTGATCCCACCTAGTTCCTGCCTACACCTGGGCAGCCCTTCAGCAGCCCCTGCTTCGTGGCCCCTGCATTTATTTGCCCCCTTCCCACTGGGCGCTCTTCTTTCCCACGTGCCCGGGCCCCTGAGGGCAGCGGCCTGGCGTTGGCAGCAGGAGCCTTGGGGCAGCTGTCCTGGGCCACAGCTCTGCTCCTGAGATTGGTGATGCGTCCTGGTTGGCCAAGGAGGGCGCGCCTCCAGTCTCCCGACAGAACTCTTTTGATGAGGGTTTGGGGAAGTGTGGGATCAGGTATTGAGTTGAGTTTCAGAAGCGAAAGTGTGTGGATTGGTTGACCGTCAACCATGTAGTTATGATTGCTCCAGTGGGGTGCTGTGATTGGCTGACAGTCGGCAGAGCTGGAGCGAGTGGTATTTGGTGGACCTGATGGGGTGAAAGAGCTGTTGATAGTAGCCTTCTGCAGTGCTGAGTAATTGGTGGACCTGATGGGGTGAAAGAGCTGTTGATAGTAGCCTTCTGCAGTGCTGAGTAAGCACTTGATCGGCCGGCTTCAGTGGAGTGAGCTGGCTGTTTATCGGCCGGCTGCAGTGGAGTGAGGCGGCTGTTGACCGGCCGGCTGCAGTGCAGTGAGGCGGCTGTTGACCGGCCGGCTGCAGCGGAGTGAGGCGGCTGTTGATTGGCCGGCTGCAGTGCAGTGAGGCGGCTGTTGATCGGGCAGCCCCTGAAGCTTTTACTTTGACTGGAAGCTGTCACAAGTTCCTTAGAATAGGGTTAAACCCACTGCTATAGCTAAGGAGCCGTTGCCTAGGAACTTTGTGCTTTCACTGACTTAGAATCCTAGGTTTACTGGGTTGAAATAAATCTATCAAATCACAGACCACACATTGGACCCTCACCCACCCACCCACCCAGAGTGGGCACAGGAGCCCAGGTTTGGGAGCTGACGGACCTGGGCTCCAGCCCTGACTCTCCTTTAACAAGTCACTCAATCTCTGTGACACTGTCTCCTGAAGGGCACCCCCACCCTCCAAAACGGGGAGTTGTGTTGACTGAGTGAGTGAGTTCATGTGTGTCAGGTTCCGGCTTACGCTCACATTTACTTTCATAAACCGGAATTTGAGGGGTCATTCCGGCCCCGGGTCTGGTGGCCAGGCGTGCAGCCCGTGACTCAGGTCCCTGCCCCGGCCGTCAGGGTTACGGGTTGTAACATCCGAGCACAGGTCTCGCTCCTGGAGGTGCTGCTCGTTGCTCTGGGGGAGCCCAGGCACCCGCATTCTTCAAGCTCCCCTGTGGTGTCCCCAGTGCACTGCAATGGCCACGCCGGCCAGCTCCGCACCCAGAGTCTTGCAGGAGATGAACATGTTGCTTTGATTGGTCTTAAGCGCTGTGCTTTTCTTGTTAAAAGCTCTTCTGAAAATTGTGGAGTTAAGAAAAAACCTGATTTAAATGGGATATTCTCTGAGTCCCATTCCTATTATTGCTCTCATTATTATTAAAAGACAAAAACAAACGAAACTACCTTATGACTTTCAAAATCTAAGCCGATAGGAAGCCGGATCATGATGGAGACAGTGGTGGGCTTGGGCTCTGGAAGCAGTTCGGAGTTGTCTGCCTAAAGGAAATGAGCGTGGTGTGAGCTCCGTCCTGTTGGTTGGCGTGTACATTATGCATACGTTTTATTAAACACTAGAGGCCTGGTGCACGAGATTCGTGCACGGGGGGGGGGGGGTTGGCGGTGCTCCTCAGCCCAGCCTGCGCCCTCTCGCTGTCCAGAAGTCCTCAGGGGATGTCTGGCTGACGGCTTAGGCCCCTAAGCCCTCAGTCAGACGTCCTTAGCGCTGCCGCGGAGGCGGGAGAGGCTACCACCACTGCAGTTGCTGCTGAGCCCTGCTTCTGGCTGAGCAGCACTTGCCCTGTGGGAGCACGCTGACCATGGGGGCAGCTCCTGCATTGAGCGTCTGCCCCCTGGCGGTCATTGCGCATCATAGCAACCGGTCGCTCCACTGTTCAGTTGATTTTCATATTAGCCTTTTATTACATAGGATTGCCTCCTTCCCAAAAGGTTTATTATCTCTAAGTTTTGAACTTAATTTATAACAGAGGAGACCATCATTCCTTGTAAACTTCTACAGCATCTGGGAGAAAGCGTCGTGTTATCTAACATCGCCTTCATGCCCCCAAGGCCTCAAAGCGCACAGGTTGCCCCCCTGTAACATAATGGGACCCCTTTTTGTCAGAGAGGAACAGGGTTTTAGTTCGTGGCCTTCCCACTATTCCTTTCTTTCTAGTTTTGAGGGAACCTCTAGTCGGTTGAAGGACTGCATATTGAATTTTCTTGCTGAAAAACGACTGGCCCACAGTGTGCCTGAGAAGGGGGGCACTGCTGAAACAGTTGATGCTTAGTCATGCAGGTGTCCCTTTGCTCTTCCTACTTGCAGGATGGACTTCACTTTGTATTCGTGGCTGTTCGTTCACCTTTTACTTTGGAATCGTGTGTGCACAGCTCACCCTCGGTGTTGCGCACTTTACGGGACTAGAGTACTGGGCGGAGTTGTTTCCCGGAGCCAGGTCTCTGTTCTCTGCCAGTCCCCGCCCCGCCCCGCCTGCAGTTGGAATTGTTGAAGGAGAAGTTAGTCATGGCACTTGTAAAGCACCGCAGGGCGTACTATGCAGGGGCTACTGCATGCGAGTTTGGCAGGTGGGGGTGGGAGGCCTGAGCTCAACTCCCGACCCAGGAAGGAGAAGGGGAGCCTGCAGCCTGGACCAGGTGGGAGAGGGGCATGCACAGCCCTGGAGGAGGGGAAAGGCATCTGGCCGAACGGACCAGCGGGGCTCTTCCTGAAGGCGGCCGGTGGTCAGGCTGAAGCTGGCTGAGGGGGCGGATTCTGGCTAAACCCGCGTAGGCTGGTTCTTGTTAAAACTGAGCAACGCAAAGATGCATCTGGAAGTACGAGTCGCGGCTGGTTGGGGAAGGGGATCCAGAGGAGCCTGGCTGAGTTTGGTAAAAGGAGCCTCTGTGGGGGAGACCTGGTGTGGCCTCCCGGGTGGCTTCTTTCACTTAGTAGCGCCGTCGAAGGCTTCTCCACGTGTTTCCCGGGCTCGGTAGCTCGCGTCTTTTTATCGCTGAGTATTATTCTGTTAGCTGGATGGACCACCGTTTAGTTATCGGTTCATCTACTGAAGGACACCTTGATTGCTTCCAAACATTGGCGATTATGAACACAGCTGCTATAGACATCCATGTGCAGGTTTCAAGAATAATTTTATGTTTATAAAAAAGTCACAAAGGTAGTACAAAGCATTCCTGTGTACCTGTCCCCTTCCCCCAGCTCTCCTGGTATTAACATCTTCTGTACCCACGGCACACCTGGCCACGGCACACTGGCAGAGCTAAGCAAGTGACATTGGCACACCCCCGGTAACTGGACTTTATCTGAATGTCACCAGGGTTCCCCTCCTTTTCTTTTTCTGTTTCAGGATCCAGTGCAGGAACACGGTGCATTAGTACCACGTTTATTTTCATTTTAGTTTATAGGAAGAGCTCGAGTATGTGTGTTTTATTAATTATATTCATAAAATTCAGCATATACTAAGGCAGGGGACGTAAGCATCAGGTGTAGGAGCTGGTGCTTAGTCAGATGAACACATTAGTTATGAAATCGTTGCTTAGAACGTTTTGGGAACCTGTTTTTGTCTTTGGCAAAGCGTGCAGGAGTCCCAGGGTCCCAAGTCAAGGTCTGGTTTTAAGGCTGCTGGTTCCAGACAGAATCCCGAAGGTATGGAAGGAAGGCCCTGTCAGGGATGAGTGCCCCAGACCCTGGAGGACAGCTGCCAAGTGGCAACAAAAGCTGTCAGGCGCACCCTGTTGCAGACTGATGCCGGGGACGTGTCTGGTTGGTCTCTGACGCGCTGTTCTGCCGCAGGGGGACCACATGAAAGATGACAGAGGAGGTCATCGTGATCGCCAAGTGGGACTACACGGCCCAGCAGGACCAGGAGCTGGACATCAAGAAGAACGAGCGCCTGTGGCTGCTGGACGACTCCAAGACGTGGTGGCGGGTGCGCAACGCCGCCAACAGGACGGGCTACGTGCCGTCCAACTACGTGGAGAGGAAGAACAGCCTGAAGAAGGGCTCCCTGGTCAAGAACCTGAAGGACACGCTGGGTGAGTGCTCGCGGCCCGGGACCCAGGTTAGAGCGAGGAAGCCCGGTGGGTGCTCTTTGAGGAGAGTGTTCATCATTTGTATTAAAAAAAAAAAAAGTTTCTTTTAAATGTTGACATCATTCTAGTTGTCTTTTTTTAATCTCTGAGAAAGAAGAGACCGGATGGAGAGGTAGCACGTTTGTCATTTCCGTGAGATTTCCGAGTGTGGAGTCGGGTGTAAACTGCTCCCCCTGCTCCTCTCGGGCTCCCACCTGCGGGCGGGCCTGGAGGGCAGTCCCTCCCCCGGAAGCGCCCGCTCTGCTGTCGCCGCACAGATCTCCTCCCCGACGAGCCTGTCCACCGGCGCTGTCATAGGGAGGAGCGGGGAGGAGCACCTTGGACACGGGTGACTTTCACACCACAGTCCTGGGCAGTTTAGCTCAGTCGGCAGTGGGGCGAGCACCACTGTGATGTCCCAGGCCATCGGGGTCACCCAGTGGGGACTGCTGGGGCTCAGCTCTGGTGGTGTCGGCCAGCTTTCTCCCCACATCCTGTCTCTTCTCCAGGTCGGAGATGGGAGGGACCACCTTGAATCACCTGAAGTGAAGGGACCAGCCTTGCCTTTGTATTTTGTGTGCGCATCAGGCTTGCTTGCAGTAGTTATTGCTTCAGATTATGTGAAAAGGTATCTTTGAGGGCCTTTCTGAGAATAAGTGAACTGACCTGCCGTTAAACAAAGTGATCATTGCCTCCTCCCGTGATACCAGGTGGCTGTGTCTGAGGCTGCTGGTTATCGCTGGAGCATGTGCTATTGAAATAAGTCAGTATTACCACCCATGCTATGTTTACTTGAGTTTTTCCTTTTTATCTTTAACAAGAGCATATTTTTTTTCATTTAGGGGAGAGGGTGACAGGTGGGAAAACTGAGCATTATACACGGAATGCAGTGGGTATTGCAAAGTATTTGTCTTTATTTTATGCAACCTTGAAAAGTCTCGTTCTTTAAAACCATATAAAGCCTGCATTAACGGGCGGTGTTTTGTGCTGTGGATTAGGTTATGCCCAGGCCTGGAGCGAGAAGCAGAACGCGGGCCTGTGTGGGTCACGCTAGCTCGCCAGCTGTCTGAGATTCGGAGGCTGATAGAGAAACCCCGTTTTTCATGAGCAATCTGATTCTCTCCCACTAAACTGACAGCCCTTTGTCTTTGTTCTCCAAGCAAGGCACCGGAAAGAAACATTGTTGTCCTATGCTTATAACTCTTAATTAAAGAAATGTAGGCTGCATGAATAGGTAAAAACTTCAAAAGTGCCTGAGCTTAATTTTATTTATTTTTTCCAATTTCAGCTTTTCACCTACCAAAGTGCCTTTAAAAAAATTTTTTTTTGGATCTACTAAACATTGTAGACTTGTTTTGTCTTTCTTCTTATCCATTTAAAAAATATATATAGTCTCAAGATTTTAGTGCAGAGCTAGGCCAGAGTGGCTCAGTGGTTGAGCATCAACCTATGAACCAGGAGCTCACAGTTTGATTCCTCATCAGGGCACATGCCTGGGTGGCGGGCTAGATCCCCAGTAGTGGGTGTGCAGGAAGCAGCGATCAATGATTATCTCTCATCATTGATGTTTCTATCTCTCCCTCTCTCTTCCTCTCTGAAATCAATAAAATATATTAAATTTAAAAAAGAAAGAAAGAAAGAGATTCTAGCACAGAATGAAATGCCCAGAAATGGAATGAAATACCAGGAAGTAAAATAAGGCAAAGCAAGCCTTCTGACTTATCTAGAAATTCCCTTGAATCCTTGTTATTTTTTCCTTCAGTTTGTAGGAGAAGACAGAGCTTCAAATGGAAACTATTAACCACAGCTTTTGCCCAGTGTTTAGTTTTTCACGAGCCGTGATCAGAGCTGTGACCAGTGCAGCGAGCTTGTGTACTGCGGAGGAGGCCGGCACCCCAGCCAGCCCTGGGGCTGGGGCTGGGCCCGGGCCCGCGGCCCCACCCCGACAGATGGCCACCCAGCTCTGCTGGAACACTGCTTCTAAGTCATCCAGTTCCATTTTTGGAGAACACAGATTGTTAGAAAGCTCTTCCTTAAATAGATTCAGAGCTTGCTTTTTGCTTTCTCCTGTGGCTCATCAGCCCTTGAGAGCTGTGCTGAGTGGGGGTGCCCTTCTGTGGAGGGACAGCTCTCGGCAGGCTGTCCACACAGGCACACGTGGCCTTGGACGCGTTCGTGCCCAACAGAATATATTGTGAAAATACACGTGAAATTGTATCTGCAGCATCCGTACCAGGTGACACTCAGAGTCTGAGGTTGCTATTTCCACCCCGCAGAGCACTGCTCCCCTTGTCATATGTCTTTCTGTTTGGATGGATCCATCATGCTCTCAGAACCCTGCTTTTGTTGGGCAAAGACCTTGTTGCTTCGGCATGAGTTTTTCCCTGCCCTTAAGCAGTATGAGAGAGCAGGAGGCACCCCGACATTTCCCTGCCCTCGAGCAATATGAGAGAACAGGAGGCACCCCGACATTTCCCTGCCCTTGAGCAGTATGAGAGAGCAGGAGGCACCCCGACATTTTCCTGCCCTCGAGAAGTATGAGAGAACAGGAGGCACCCTGACATTTTCCTGCCCTCGAGAAGTATGAGAGAACAGGAGGCACCCAACATTTCCCTGCCCTTTAGCAGTATGAGAGAGCAGGAGGCACCCCGACATTTCCCTGCCCTCGAGAAGTATGAGAGAACAGGAGGCACCCTGACATTTTCCTGCCCTCGAGAAGTATGAGAGAACAGGAGGCACCCAACATTTCCCTGCCCTAGAGCAGTATGAGAGAGCAAGGGGCACCCCGACATTTCCCTGCCCTGGAGCAGTATGAGAGAGCAGGAGGCACCCCGACATTTTCCTGCCCTCGAGAAGTATGAGAGAACAGGAGGCACCCCGACATTTCCCTGCCCTCGAGCAGTATCAGGGAGCAGGAGACACCCCGACAAGAATCTCTGTGGCAGAGAGAGACCTCCCTTGTCTCCACAGCCGGACGGGACATGGCACTGAAGGGGGCAGCCCCTCCTGCCTCCCAGGGGTCTCTTTGCTGGAAGAGATGGGAGCTAAAGTGCCCATGGCGCCTGCTTCCTGGCCGTCTCCGGGTGCTGTCAGTGACAGTCGCTCAGATCAATGGTGCAATCAGAGACTATCTCCACTGTGTGTTAGAAGGGGCGAGGACGACGTCAGAAACGACCCTGCATCGCTGAGCTTCCGGTAGCTCCTCGTGGCATCGTCACATTGGTAGTTTGCCCTGCTGTGGAAACCTGCCTGCTTCCGAAATCCAGGCTGAGTCCCTGGCAGATGCCTGGCTTGGAACAATAGCGCCGGACTCGCCAGCAGTCACAGTGCCATAACTGCGGTCTATGTCTGTAATGGCCGGTCACTAACTCTGTCCAGGTCTCGCCTCCCTGCCTGTCCCCATCAGGTGTGTGGAAGCTGGTAGGAAGTTAACGTCATCCCATGTTGTGCTGGTTAGAGCGGCTTTGAGCAAGCAGCACCCTTGACAAGAAGATCTGTTAGGGAAGGGTGACCTTTCTTCCTTTTCTTTTAATAATTTTTAATCAAATAAAATGATCTGAGCTCTTGTTTGCACACAGGCAAGGCATTCACGTACTCTGGGTCTCCTCTGGTACCCACCTTAGGTCACCAACAGCCAGAGCTTCTCCGTGGGTAACGGTGGCTGGTGGGCGGAGGGCCCGGCTGCAGCTCTCAGCTCCCGTGTGGAACCTGGTTTATGCAGTCACGGCCCGACGTTTCATGGCGCTGCGCTGTGTCCTTGGGTGTGAGGATGGCCCGGAGGCCTTTTCACAGCCGTTCCTTCAGGCTAATGGAGAGCAGTTTTTGTATCACTTCATGGTAACAGCTGGAACCCACAACCCCGAAGGTTAACTCTTTCCCGTGGCTCAGCCCAGGTGCTGACCCCGGTACACAGAACGGCACACTTCCACCTGTCGCCTCTGCTCCCAGGCGCACGGCCCGTGCTAAGCACGTCCTTAGGCGTCTGGAGCCGGAGAGAGTGAGCCGCCCTGGTTTGCTGCTGGAGCACTTGTCCCCGTGTGACACACCTAAGGCAGTGAGAACCCCGCAGGGGTTAGGACCCGCTCTGTGGCTCCTCACCGCTGACCACTGTCACACGGCCCTTGCCCTGCACTGGCTTGAGCTAAAGCCTTTGGACGAGGAGGGTGGTCCCGTGGGGACATTCACACGGCTCCGAGGCCCGTGGATGCTAGGATTGACTTTGGCGGGGCTGAGTGGCTTCCCCAGGACGCACTGCCAGTCACGGGGAGGAGACAGAGATGGGGCTTCCGCTGAAATGGAGGTTTTCACTCCCCGGTGGACGTCAGGGTTCAGTGGCTGGGCATCGGCGAGGACTCTGGCAGCGACAGGCACTGAGAATGTTAGAGGACATTTTAGTGATGACAAGTTTTCTATTTTAGAGCTGAAGTACTTATCAGTAAAACTTAAATGGGGTCCTGAGTGACACGGTGGTAACCACCAGGCCACGTTAGTTTCCTGATTTTGGTGGCGGTGCTGTGGTCCTTGCAGTGGAAATACACACAGTATTCACGTGATGGGACGCCGCGCCGGCACCTTCTGGCACGGCTGAGGGAAAGCAGTGCTGCTCTCGCAGTGTTTCGTTCATTAAACCCCCGGGCCAGCGTCAAGGTGGCGTGGAGCCCGCGCCCGGGTGTCGCGTGGCTCGTGGGGCACGTGTCTGCATGGCCACAGTGTTGCAGGCCTTAAACGTGGCCTAAGCCTCTCGGAGCGCAGGGGCGCCCTGAGGATCTGCCGCGATCGGACCTTAAACGTGAGGATAACACCCGGTATAAACATGTCCAGCTGGTTCTCCTTCGAATGGATTTCCCAGTGCTGGACCCAGAACATCTGCCATCACCTGCAGGTCTCTCCCTGCCGCCAGCTCGCCCGCGAGGAAACCCCTGCTGTGGGACCAGCCGGACGGCATGGAGCCGGTCAGTCTACGC